CTTCTTAGAGATTGCTGCACTGTGGGTGTGGTGCCCCATGCCACCTATAATTTTGTTTACTGATTGGCTTTTAAGATAACTGGCACTAGGGGAACAGATCTGAAAACATAGTGTTTTCCATTGTTAGTTTGAGAGAAGGAAGTCTCTACTGCCAGCCCAATCATGGGGTGGGATAGAAAGAGAGATATGTTGATGTTATCACTCCGATTGCCTTTTTTCCAGGATTCCACTGTCATCATGATGTTGGCGGCTCAGGCCCATGCTCCCACGATGTCGTGGACTGACTGGCACTGATGAAGTGGCCTGGAAACAATTCTACCTTCACAGCCCTGATTCTAAGGCTTCATTACGGATTTCTTACCTATGCTTTGCAAGTACACTCTGAAACACAACCAGCTCCTAAACTGGATTATGCCTGTTACCATGTCTAGGATGGAGGGGTCAAGGAGGACAGTAAAGGACAGAGACACTAAGAAATGAGCATGACATATGGCTAGATGTTATAAATGGAGCAACAATGACAATCACATTTAGTGCAGCTTCTGAAAATTAAGCTGAAGGGGTCGGAGGGGTATGGGAGGCAGCCAGCCAGGCCGAGCCTCAGGAGATAAACACTCAGGAATGGCCTGTGTTTCCCAGGTCAGCCCTTCTATGCCACTGGCACCACCACTCTCCCAGACACCTGGATCCAAAAGACCAGTAAGTTCTGACTTTTCACCCCTATCCAGTCGCTTCCCAAGTGCTGGCCATTCTATCTCTTATGGTCTCTCTATGCCTCTGTTTGTTCTCTCCTCCCTTTCCCAGTGCCATGCCCTTCTTCACCGCCACACCCCAGTTACTCCTCTTTACCTCCAGGCCTGCTGACTGCAACAGGCTCCTAAGAAGGCTTCTGATTCCAGGATAAGCAACAAGATTTTGAAACCAAAAAAACCTGTTTTGATGCCAACACGCACTAATTAAGGTTCATTTGCATCAAAGAATCATTTAATCTCTGCAAATCTTTTAATCCCTCCATCAATGGCATATTTTTTATTTTCCTATTTTGCAGAGGCACTGTGAAGGTGAAATGAGACGATGGCTATAAAAAGCCCTTGGTCAGACACAAGACGCTGTGCAAATGATGACAATGTTTCACATTATCAGCATCTATCTGATACTCTGAAGCACAGGTCTGAACATGGCACTCTTTCTGTAGAACTGTTCAATGATTCCCCAATGACTGTAGAATGAAGTCCAAGTTCTTTGCTGAGATTCTTCACAATCCAGTTCCAACTACTTTTCCAGACCCACTTCTTCTCACACAGCCAAATCAACCATCGAGTCAGCTCAATTTTGTTAAAAAATAATTAATTAATTAATTTGAAAAAGAGTCAGCTCAAAAGGGACCTCTTCTGAAAGCCAACTCTGATCTCCCCCAATTAGAAATAACAATCTTTTTTCTCAAGTGCTGGGGCCCTTAACAAGAACTTTCTCCCAAGGACATTTATTTGTCACTTTCTACTTTAGACTGTATCTATTTATAGCTAGCACTTATTAAGCTCTGACTACATATCTAAGTTCTATAGTAAACTCACAGCTATTTCTTCTAATTAAAATAGCAACTCACAAATAGCAATGGAATTAATACTATTTAGATGAGAAAAAAAATGCTATGAAGTCGAAAGCAGGAAATTTAAATACAGGACAAATTTCAAAGTTTTCCCCATGATACCTGCTGCCTTCAATGGCTTTATTCATGGCCCTTGACTTAAACCCCAAGGAACTTATAAATTCCTTGTTAGTGAATTCAGTCTGATTTATCTTTGGTATCCCTCACAGACCCAGCACAGTATGCACAGAAGAGGCTCAATGCTTGTAGAACATATATGTGATCACAGCCAAGTTGACCTCTGCAGGCCTCACTCATTAAGCTATAAAGTTGAGAGTATCAAATAAGAGGTCACATAATGATTAAAGATCAACTGATTTATAAATGTTTGCTAAGCACTTCTTATGTGCCAGCACCTCACTGATCCTCATACAAAGCCTATGAGAAGTACTACCCCTTAAGCCTCTTTTATACCTGAAATAAAAACAAAAACAAAAACAAAAAACTAAGGCACAATTAACTCATACCCAAGGTTAACAAAGCTTTTAAGTGGATGATGAAACTTGAACCCAGGCAGATGGGTTTGAGAACCACTGTTCTCAACCAATATAGAATAATGTCTCTGCACAGATTGGGAACCCAAGAAAATCAGCTGGAAAAAACATTAGAAATGATAACAGACTTTCAGAATGCGGTTTTTAACAGAATTACTATGTAAAAATAGTATTATATATATTATATATACTAATTGGTTTCATCTAATCAATCATCAACTAATGGGATAAAAGATCCCAGACAAAATGGGGGGAAAAAAGCCAACTAAAATATCTAGAAATAAATTTAAGAAATGTGCAGAATATGTACACATACTATAAGAAGGCCATTTTTAAAAGTCTTTAATAAATGGAGAAAAATATCATTTTCCCAGCTGGAAAGACTCACTAGTGCGAGAAAAGATAGAGATTCATTCTCCAAAATGAATCTCTATAGTTACTATAAGGTCAATTCAATTTCAACAAATGGGCACTTTCATATAGATTGGTGCAACCTTTGGAGGGAAACTTGGGACAATATCTATAAAAATTTTATATGCGCATCCCCGTTGACAGAGAAATTCTACTTGTAGTTATCTACCCTGCAGAAATGCAAACACATGCTACCAAAGATAGACAAGGAATGTTCAGGGCAGTTTTGTTTGTAATAGTAAGAAAGAGAAAGAGGGGGAGGGGTGGAAAGGGGTATAAGAAGGAACGATGAACTTCAGAGAAAGAAAATGCCTGGCAACACGGAACAGGTGTTTAGATAATTACACAAGGGGATAATGTGGAGACATTAAAAGAAAAAGGAAGGTTTAAATATACTGACATTAAAAGAGTCTTAGCTAGGTCTCTGCTATAGACTGAATGTTTGTGTTTCTCAAAATTCATATATTAAAATCCCAATCACAAATGTGATGGTATTCAGAGACGGGGTCTTTGGGAGGTAATTAGGTCAAAGGCATTATTTTGTTTGTTTGGGTGGAGTGAGGAGAGGTTGGTTAACTACCAGACTATTGTAAAGATCATCTGGAATCAGTACTAATACAAACTGCCAGGAAAGAAATGCTCACTTTGGTGGTACACATACTAAAACTGGAAGGATATATGGAAAATTAGGATGGCCCCTCTGCGATGATGACATCAAGTTTACGTAGTGCTCCATAAGTTTTTACTGTGATGGTAGTTACATTTGACAAAATTCATCAAAATGTACATTTAAATCATGCATATTGTTGCATGTAAACTATACCTCAATAAAATGTTTTTCTTTTTTTTAAGCCAGGAAAATGATACTGGGTAATAAGAGAGAATCTGCCTAACTAGATATTAAACCTATTATAAACTTCGGTAATTAAAATTTGGTGCACTGGCACCAAAATATATTGATAAATAGATGCAAACATTCACAAATTGATACAAGTATATAATAATTTAAACCTACCGAAATTGTAGCAATTTAATTCAGGGGTAAAAAATAGACTTAATAGCTATGCAGCAACTAGCTAACTATTAAGGAAAAGTAAATTAGCTCTCTACTTTACAACTTAAACCAGAATAAATTCCACATTAATTAAAAATTAAATGACAGCTTAAAAATTCCCAAAGAAAATACAGAAGAATATTTTATAAACTTGGGTTATGAAGGCCTTTTTCAGCTAGATTCTTGAGCAGAAACCATAAAGAAAAGGTAGAATAGATTTGACTACATAAAGTTAAACTTATATAGGCAAAGATGAAAAACTGAGAACATTAAGCAAACTGGGAAACACTGTACAACGTATATGACAGAATTACTACTTTATCATGTAATATATAAAGAGTGCTTAAAAATCAGGAACAGACAAACTCTAATTGAAAAAGGAGCAACAGAATTAATAGCCAATTCATCCACACAAATGCAAAAGACCAATACACTGAGGAAAGTGTTGATTTCCCCTGGGTAATCTGACATGCAAATTAAAACAAGATACTATTTTTGTCTGTGTTATTGTGTATGCGGTGAAAAATTTGAGATATCCAGAAAAATCTCAACAATCTAGAAGATGAGACTTTATCTTTATTCTCTCCTTTACACTTTTCTGTTTCCTTAATGTTTCGTAATAAACTTTTCTTTTTAAAAATTCTATTAACTTTAATAGTGTTTGGTGTTAGACACGGTTTTCTCTCACCTCCCAAAGTACCTGGTGCAGTGCACTCTAGAAATGCACCCCTAAAAAAGCTATTCCCCCATACAAGGTTTAGTTCTCTTGGGGAAATGCACGCGCGAGCACGCACATACACCTCCGGGTTTTGTTAATGGTCCGCATAGTGATATCACTGCAGCCGCCCTGCGGGTCCCCCAGGGGAGAGGATGGGATGAGCAGGGGATGCCTGCGTCTCACCCACCCTGCGGAAACTCTCGCCCCCGAACTCCGCGATCGCAGTACGACACAGGGGACACTCGGGCACAGCCAGGAAGAATGCGAGACAAGCCGGCCTGGTCCTAACTATCCCTGGTGGAAAAGGAATGGGAGTGGAAGACCAGAATCCTGGACCTACAGTCTGCCGCTGACCTTGGGCAGTCCCCGCCGTGCTCCGGCCTCAGTTTCCCCACCAATAGGCCGGGGCTAACGGTCTCGATCGCCGCTCTGGCTCCCTTCGGCTGGCCTTTCCCGGAGCTGGAAGGACGCCTTCCTCTTCCCGGTCGCCCTTTCTCAGACCCGGCCTGCGAGGTCGCCCGCAGAAATCCATCACTGCAGCAGCGCGTTATAGGCGTGCCTGGCTGGCGGGAGGGGTGGACGCGCGGCGGTTTCTCGCGGCGCGCGGGCGGCCATTTGGCAATGCGCCCTGGGGCTGTTCGGCCCGACCAAGCCGGACAGGAACGGGGGTCTTACCTGGATTCCCACGTGCCCGGCTCGCGCCTTCCTGTCTTCCTCGCGGCGCAGCCAAAGCGGGCGAATGGTGGGGAAGGCGGCCTCGCCGCGACACCCTCATCCCTATGCTAACGCCGACCCCGTCCGCGCCCGGGGGCGCCCTTCTCGGGTCCCCGAAGTCTTCCGGCAGGACGTGGCCAGCACCACCGGCTGGGCCACAGTGAAGCCTGCCTGCCCAGAGTGCACGACAGGGGGCGCAGGCGCTCCCTGGCTGCGCCAGCCTCCGCAGCTGCTCTCCCCGTGCAAGCTGCGGGGCCACCCCTAGATCTGATGTCTCCCCGGGGTGGGCTCTCCGACCACGACGTCAAAGGGGCTGGGCAGATTGTGCGCAAGGGAAACCTACCTGGTGGGGGCGATCAGCTGTGTTCCCTGCGTACGCCGAGGGCCGTCTCTGGTGTCGCCTAGGCTGGCTGGAGGAGCCATTGCTGAACCCTGAAACCCTGGAGAAGCCGGCGCGGCGCGGTTGTGTGCGCACCGAAGCCTCACCTCCGGCGCGGGGTCCCCTCGTTCCCGCAGGCCATGTGACCTGCGAGCTGCGGAGCGACCGCAGCCCCCAAAGCCAGCTTGGGAAAAAAGGATGGCAAAAGGCGCCAACTGATGGGCGGAGAGGGAAATGCTGGAAGGATTGGGTCTGCGCTGTTCACATCCCCAGCTGACTGTTAAACGTATTCTCTACTGGAGGGATTTGCTTTTGCCAGTATTAAAAATAATAAGGGCCACCACTTCCACCCCCAATTCCCACCGTACCCAGCGTTATACCAAGAGCCTTATGAACATTCCTCTAGCTCTCATTTCACTCTTGTGCATTAGAGATTACCATCCCTGGTTTGCAAATGACGAAAGATTTAAGATAATTTGCCAAGTGCAGCCCTTATTCCAAAAGCCAGAAATGTAAACACTTATTAAAAAGCAGATTTGGTCTAACCAGATCATCTAGCCAGGCATGAGATTTAGCCCTATGTCTCTTTCCACTTACCTGTCAGTCTCTGCCAGGGCTTTGATAGTTCATTTGAATCTGAAGCAGTCCTCACCCTCAACCTTTCATTTTGACATATAGATAATATCATATCTGTCTTACATATGGAAAAAAAAGAAAAAAAAGAATAAGGTTTGGCCAAAGGAACAATCTTGTTCAAGTGACAGCTGGTCAGTCTAGTCTACTAGTTGGCAATGGAGTGGTCATCTGTTAGGCACTGTGTAATATCCAGAATTCAAATTATTTTAGTACTCACAACAATCTTTTAACAATCTTAAAAGGAAACTACTATTATTATTCCAAGTTAAGAAAACCGAGGTCCAGAGGGGTTATAGATTTACATAAAGTTACATAGCTAGTAAGTGGCAGAGTTCAGATTCAAATCTATAGAGAGAGAATCTACAGAGGCTTCACCTCTCTCCAAAGCAGTTGTTTTTTCCTCACACTGTGCTACTTCCTGCTCCTTCTATTGCTTCTGGATTTTGCTAGAGATTAATAGAGGGTCTAAACTGTATCCAGAGGCTCAGGGCATTATAACAACATCAAGCCCAGGCACTTAGATTACAAAAAAAGAAAAAAACAACAACTGTCACGGCTTACACTACGGATTTTTTCATGTCCTTACAGCATGATCTTATGGCTTTCCGGTGTTAAACAACAGAATTCAGCCCAGTTAATTTGGAGATCTAACTGGCTTTGAAGGATTCATAAATCAGACAGCATCTCATCTAGCAAGCATATAGATACTCCAAGGGGTTGTACAAAATGAAAACTTTTTATTGGAAGAAGGGTGTGGCAGGGAGTTATTAGTGAAAGAAAAGAAATGGGTTGGCGTAACAGATTATTTTTAGGCTAGGACATCTTCCTTTGGTGTAGGGGCTCTGGAGAGGGTGAATATGACAGATTACCCTATTGGTGCTTGACTAGAAAATTCCAGACTAGTTGATTAAAATTATATTCCTGGGAGAGTTTGAAACTGAAATTAAATCAGGTATTAAATCTAGGTTTGGTATCTTGAGCTTTAGCACAAATGAAGCCACTTTGGGCCTGTGGGTCTCTCTTCAACACTAGCAAGTTAGCTACAAACAAGTTTATGCAATGAAATGGAATGTAAGTTTCCAGTAACAATTCACAATATAAAATAACATACTTGCTCATTCATGTTTTATAAACTAAGCTGTCAGTCACCACTGACAGAAAGTCTCCCTGTTTGGGAAAAGTTTGTTTCTCACTCACTAAAATGTTCATATTAAGTAAAGCTCTCTGAATTTTCTCTTGGCAGAGGCAATAGAAGACACTATATGGTTAGTGTAAGTTATTTTTGAGGTTTCAGTTTTGTGTTGAGAGGTTTGATATTCAGCCTCGCAACTGCCATGGGCAATATCCTTCTCAGGACTCACCTCTGACTTCTCCTGAAGATATTAAATTAATTAAACAGGAGGCCACTGGACCAGTGTAGCTCTAATGCCACAGTAGTCTAACTTGAGCAACCCAACATCTAAGCCTGTAAATGCCTCAAGCTTATGAAATCAAACCACTAAGGGCAACCAATCGCAGACAGGCAAGTAGGCTTTAAGCTATAGTCAATCAAGTAATTTCTTTCCTTTGCTTCTGCCTTTTCTCTATAAAATCTGTCTACAAGCTCCTTTTGGTAGAATATTGCTAACCACTTTCAGTTGGGTGCTTCCTAATTAGAATAGATTTTTGCTGAAATGAACTCTTAAAAATTTTAATATACCTCAGTTTCTTTTAACAATGCTTGAGAAATAAGGACTTTCCAGACATACAAAAATTGAGAGAATTCTCCACTAGGAGGCCTGCACTACAGGAAATACTGAAAGGGGTCACCTCACCTAAAACAAAATGACAAAAAAATATATAATTAAGAGTAAGGTGACTAGCAGGCTGACAGAAGCAGAGGAGTATAACCCTTATTAGGAAGAGGGCATTATAAGCTTCAAAATAAGAAGAGATTTGCTATAGCAAGATAATAATGAACATTCAGCATACATAGGGACAAATTGAGACAACAATGATTGAAAAGGGGAGGATTCAAAGATCCAAATTCGCAAAGGAGAATGGAATTAAGGCAAGCGCAGACAAGAGACGACTGTATATCCTTTACATATTCATAATGGTAACCACACGCCAAAGATTCAGAACTGAAGTGTATAACATAAAACAAGACGAACCAGAGGGAAAAACCACAAAAGCCAACCAAAATAAAGAAAACAGAAATACAAGGACAAGGAAGCAATGTAAACACTGAGCTGCCAGAAAGTAAAAGATAAAATGGTTGTCAGAAGACCTCATATTTCAATAATCACCTCAAATGTAAATGGACTGAACTCACCAATAAAAAGGCACAGAGTTGCAGATTGGATCAAAAAACAAAACCCAGCCATATGCTGCCTCCAGAAGCCATATCTCAGCTACAAAAATAAATATAGACTCAAAGCGAAAGAGTGGAAAACAATATTTCAGGCAAATGGCATTCAGAGAAAAGCAGGAGTAGCAGTACTAATGTCGGATGAAATAGACTTCAAAGTAAAAAAGTAAAGAAAGATACTGAGGGACACTTCATAATGATAAAGGGAATCATGCACCAGGGTTTTCTCTATATAGAAAACATGATTCTCTATATAGAAAACCCTAATTTTTTTTTCAGGCACTAAATTTTATTAAAAGCAAACTGCTGAAACAAAAGTGATCATAGAACAACTCAAAATGCAGAGCAAGAAGGACAAAAATCATCTCACTGCCCAATAGACTGTTTTAATTCTCTTTCTATATGAAACCGAGCTTTTCATTTTCAGGTAAGATGAACTGAAACTTCAGTAGACTGCAGTACAGAAAGATTCTGTCACATAGACTAGCTTCTATTTAGTCAGTCAACTGTTTCTAGCTGTCTCAGTCAGGATAGATGCATTTACAGAGCTGGCTGTGCTTGGGCCTTCTTTGCAAGCAGCTTTAGATCTGCAATGCACTTGGCAATTGTCTCTTTTTCCTGCTTATTAATATCTATGCTCCCAATCAGGAAGCCCCAAAATATGTGAAGTAATTACTAACAAAACTAAAGAGAGAAACAAATCAAAACACTATCGTAGTAGAGGACCTAAATACCCCACTGTCGGATATGGACAGATCATCTGAACAGAAAATCAATAAGGAAATAACATACTTAAATGACATATACAGAGCTTTCCATCCCAAAACAGCTACTTATAGATTCTTTCCTAGTGCACATGGAACATTCTCAAGAATAGACCACATACTGGGATACAGTGATAGCATCAACAAATATAAGAGGGGTGGCTAGACTCACTAAAGTAAAAAGAGAAAGGACACAGATAAGTAAAATCAGGGATGAAAGAGGAGAAATTATGACTGACATCGTAGAAATACAAAGTATCATACAAGAATACTATGAAAAAGTATATAAAACCAAATTTAACAACCTAGAAGAAATAGACCAGTACTTAGAAAAATACAACCTTCCTAGACTGAATCGAGAAGAACTGGAAAACTAAATTGACCAATCAGCAGTATGGAAATTGAAACAATCATCAAAAACCTACCAAAAAGTAAAAGTCCAAGACCAGATGGCTTCACCAGTGAATTCTACCAAACATTCAAAGAAGATTTAATACCTATTCTCCTCAAATTCTTCCAAAAATTCGAAGAAGAGGCAATACTTCCCAACTCATTTTATGAGGCCAATATTACCCTGATACCAAAACCTGGTAAAAATAACACAAAAAAACTACGGACCAATATCTCTCATGAACACAGATGCAAAAATCCTAAATAAGATACTAGCTAACCAAATACAGCAACATATTAAAAAGATTATACATCACGATCAAGTGAGCTTCATTCCAGAGGCACAGGGATAGTTCGACATATGCAAATCGATTAATGTGATACATCACATAAACAAATTAAAAAATAAGAATCATTTGATCATATCAATAGATGCAGAAAAAGCCTTCGACAAGGTACAGCACTCATTTATGATCAAAACACTTAACAAAATCATTATAGAAGGAAAGTACTTTAACATAATAAAGGCCATCTGGGACAAGCCCTCAGCCAACATTATACTTAATGGTGAAAAACTAAAAACCTTCCCTCTAAGATCAGGAACAAGGCAAGGCTGTCCACTATTGCCACTCTTATTCAATATAACATTAGAGGTCCTAGCGAGAGCAATCAGGCATCCAAAAATATAAAAGGCATCCAAATAGGAAACAAAGAAGTCAAACCGTCACAATTTGCGGATGACATGATTCTCTAT